AATTGCAATTTAATAAAGTTTATTTTAAATTTTTTCAAACAGCACAGAATTAGTGTCTTAAATAAGCTTCTTATTAGGAAAAAGAAAAATATTTTTATAGTTTAAGGCCTTTTCAGACACCCCTGTATCATGTTAAATACCTTTTAGTTAAAGTATTTAAAAAGCCATAGATGTACGATAAATATAATAAATAAATCATAGGTGTATAATAAATACAATACTGGTATATATATACATATATACATATTCTGTGAAGAAAATATCAGTGCATGCAAACAAAGATAACATGCCCAAGGCCTGTGCTCCATAAAAGAAAGAGAATAATTACGGAAGAAGCATGAAAGAGAAAAATAAGTGTTATTCTTGCCCTCTAGGGTAAAATTCTTATATTTATCATTCGTAGTCTGTGTCACTGACCATAAAATGCTCCATATTATAATTTGAAAAAAACTCACTGATGCATGTTCCCATGAAGTACAACTCGCTTACCTCCTAATGAACAGCATTATTATAATGCCTGCAAGTGAGATTCAGTGACATTGATTTAAAATTCTCGTACCGACTCACCATATTCACTGCAACCTAAAGGAAATTGCTGAGACAGCAAGATCCTGATTCTGCAGTAAAATGAGACAGAGTTCCAAGGCAGTCAATCGCTTTTATTGGAAGAATGAGGTTCGAAACGCAGGGACTTAGATTTCACAGGGTAAAGCTTCACAGACGTTGCAATTAATTATTATTAAACATTAATGATTTTGATACTACCAAATGTATCTTTTCATGTTCTACAATATAGACTTGAAAATTTTAACATCTCAATAATGGAAGAGAGGATTTGAATTAAGAGTTATAACATTCAACTTATCCTTGATTTGATGGTACAGCCACAGAATTTAAAATCAAACCTTCTGCACACAGCAATGACAGGTCTATCTAAAAATGTTTTTTTCAAAAAATAACAGGCATTGAGGTCCATTACTCGTGAATTGAGTCTATCAGTTTTGTTTTTCTAGTCAACGTAATAATTTTTTACATGTGAAAGTTAGCATGACCCCAGAAAATATAGTCTGATTCAGGAAAATGTACAAAGCTCACAAAAGAAGATGACAAAAGCTCTTCATGTGATTCAAAACACTTTGCTTATGCATTATAGAATTTTTTATTCTCATCTGAATGAATAAATAAAATTCAGAAAAGGAATGTTACATATAGTATTTGCACCCTATATGCAGATTTTTTTGTAGAACATAACTATACTCAATTTTTGTTCCCACAGCTTAAATACTCATTTTTATAATTTCGCTCACTCCAGATTTTTTTTTATATGCCTCAGGAATCTTGAAACTCAATGAATGGAGTAATTGATGACTTTAATTCTAAAAGTAATGAAAGTCAAATTCCCTTTAAAATAAATTACTTCACTGTCTATTTATTTACAATTGTGTTCAGCCTGTCTGATTTTTCTGGCATTCAGTTCTTGAAAAAATACAATATGATCCACTATTTTGGACTTCTATACATTGATTTCCAAACACAGCCATTTCTAAAATCTCTTAGACCTTGTTTTCAGCAGAGTTTATCTTTCCACTACGTTTCCCTTACTGAGGGTGCTTAAAATATAAACTTTCACTTCTTTTTTATAAACCATATTGTGCATTTTCATGGCAATTAAAAGCTTCCCTTCCACTCCTGTACCTTCCAGAGACCTGAAAATGCCTGGTTTTACTCCTATTTTCACTTTTTTTCCCTGGTGTTGGTGTTTAGCTGTTACCGACACTATACACCCACTCTCCCTGGTCTGTAGATCAATAATTCAGACAGCTTCGTTTTCAAGCTGCAAAATCTGACTTAGAAAACTGGTGTCAGTTACTTTTTAATCCTAAGTAATTGGGAAAACCTTAAAATACTTAAAATAAAATAAAATAAAATAAAATCTGCTATTAAAACAAATTCAGTCAATATAAAACTAAAAACAATTGTTGTTTTTAAAAACTTCAGTTTTCTGTCATTCTAGCTAATGCTGTGTGGAATTTGTAGGGTCTGGCTGATTTTGTGTCAGATTTTAGAAAAAAAAATTAGCCATTTTCAAAATTCACTTCGAAAGTTCATTGGATAAAAATCAGTCAGTTTATGAAAATCTAAAATATAATTAGCTGAAAGACCTAGTAAGTCATAATCCTTGTTCTATTTTAGCTCCAGTTTCTAAGTAGATGTCTTTCAAAAAATACTGAGGAAAAAGCATGGTGATGATCCTTCATCACTAGGAAGGCAATGGGTTGTATGGATCAGAGGATGGGGCAAGAGAAGGTGGAGAGCTGGCTTGGATCAGTCTGCACCACAACATCATGTTCACTCAAAGATATCGAGATATAAATATATGTAGAAACTAAGCTATTGTCTCGGAAAACTGGTTCCTGAAATAAAGAAAAGGTATATAGGGCTCTGTGGGAAGCTGGCATTTTGCTTCTGTTATGAAATATAGGAGCTGAGTCTTCAGGGCTGACAGTCTGCTCCTCGTCAGGAACGCTACCATTCAGCAATATCGAAAAGAGAACAGAAGTAAGTGGTAAGTGTAGGTGGTTCTTTTAAAATCCTTTTGGAGAACAACATTTAAGTAGTGTCTTCAAATATAAGCATTTATAGGAACTTGGCAATCATGAGGATAAGAAAGCTTAGAGGTGTAGATGTGTATTTACACAAACAACAAACAATCTTGTAATTCAAAATATCTCTTGTTATTTCTCACACTAACAATTTTTGGGTGCATGCAATCAAGTGCCTTATATTGTACTCAGTAATTGTATACATGGAGGCATCACAGAAATGAACAAAAGGTGGGAGGACTGAACCCCTCCGATTTTGCAGCCCCAGAAATTGAAATCATCCTGCTCTGTAAAAGCACAGGAAGTGTTCTAAGATGTGGTTTGAAAAAGATGGACAAACTTGCTAGACATGCCTTGTCTTCATTCTGGAGATTATTTTTTTTTCACATTGTCATAATGTGCCACTGGATAACATCTCTGTTTCACCATATACAAGAATACAAGAGTTGTTATGGAAACTAAGATATGAAGTTTAACTTAATAGTCTTTTGAAGCCTCAAAAAAAAAAAAAAAAAAGAAAAAGAACCAGACTTCTATATGTTATTAATGTAAGTATTAGTGAAGGCAAACAGCCATAAGATTTCTGTCTGCCCTTCAGCAGTCCCCTGGAGGTGACATTCAGGTTAGCAAGTGCTTTTCAGAGGTCATCTGGTGCAACGCCTGTTTCAGGCTTGGCCAACTTGCATTGTGTTGCTTTCGGTCTTGTCCAGCTGAGTTCTCGATATCTCCAATAGGATATTCCACCACCTCTCTGGACACCAGGAAATACTTTTATTTCCATTTCAGAAGAGCAATAGCAATGTAAAAAAATTGCAATTTTAAATTGCTAAATGGATTCTGCTACCATTGCAGAACTCTGACCAGAAGCTACATTTCCATTTGGATGCCTTTCCAGTCCCCCAAAAGGATGGATTTAAGTTCCAAGAGACCTTGTTCTCTATACCTGTACATGTAAAACTACCTGTTTAAACTTAAAATTATTTATGACACACTAAGATTCAAGAAGCACATATATTCCCAAGACACAAGAGAAAATCCTTGCACAGACAGGAATTACTACAAACAAAGAGGGTTTGTTTGCAGGACTGAATATTTCCTGAAAATGCGTAAAAAATTTTGAAAAATTTGAAAAGAATTTCACTAACTTCACATACAAACAGATACTGAACTACTCAGCTGGTCTGTAAAAGTAATTTTAGATGGAAAATTTAACTTCCTAAAGTGCGTTACAAGATGGCAGAAAATATAAAAGAAAAATAAATCTAAAACTTTCCTTAAAAAACAATCATGGTACTTGAGAATACTGAAGAGGACTGAATTGAAACAGAACTCTGAACTTGTTAACTATCATTTCTTTCCTCCTTTTGTGGATAAGTATAATCTTTTAGCTTGAAGGCTATGCACTGTAACTCTCTGTTAAAGTACCTGTCTCAGAATATTATGATATGGAGCATTTTGGTCCTTCTCACCACCCAGCGCACAGACACAAAAACTGCCAACTAACCAAAATTACTAATTACTAATTACTAAATCGAGAACCCACATAGAGCACATGAAATCTCCAAGCTTGTCTGCATGGATACAAAGTTTGTGTGCATTGTATGCACACACATTTACATACAATGACTCAAAGAAACCCAAAAAATTCTTAGAAATAGTTTTTGGTTTGTTGGGGTTTTTGAGATTTTTTTATATCAGTGTCAACTGGTATTTTACAGTTAGTTCAGTGAAGGATAGCTTGAAATCACTGACACTACCGAGGAGTTAAACTAGAGAAACGATGAAGTATTAAGGAAACATTGTTACAATTCACTGTCTTATTCTTACGCATCTATTTTTTTTATTAGCATACTGTATAGACACTATTTTCAAAATATCTGCTGATGACATTAAATTACTGTGGATCAAGTATACCAAACTATGCAAAATAGAATTTTCAGATAAATTCTATTTGTGAATGTAACGACATAAAACTGTACCAAAGCAAGGCAACAGGTCTTGTTATTCATTTAGCTACATATGATGTTATAGACAGCCCACTTTAATTTTAAGTATCAGCTAAAGAGAAAGGTACTACATATGGTCAAACAATGAAATTATAAACGCTAAACATAAGATAAGAGAGAGGACTTCAAGAGAAAAACAGCATGGTGCAAAAGACCAAAAGAAATTGCTCAAGCTCAGAATCTGAACTAGGTACTCTCCTAAGGAAGTGGTGCATTGCACAGCGTTCAGTGTTACTATCTGTAGCACGTTCGAGTCTCCTCAGTAATCATAAAGAACCTAATTCAGAACAGCTACAAACAAATTCTGTCAGCTTCCCATCTACAGTAATTCAATATACTTTACACATTAATTCAAATGAACGATGCGCAGTGTGTAAAGCTAACAACCTACTTTGTAACCTCCGCGTGGGACTCTCGCCATGGAGCTGTCTGCGTGGCAAATACGGTGAGGGATGGGGAAGTGGCAATGAAGAGACATCATGCGTTTGAAGTTTGTACCAGTGAGGTTCGTCATCTAGTAGGGCTGTCTCTAACTCAATCAGAATCTAAAAAAGAAAAAAAATGGTTAAATATAGGAAAGCATTACATGACAGAACATTTAAAAATAGGAATGTTCACAAATTTTGTTCTTTTATTCTCTTATTGTTAAGGACTTTGAAGTTTTATAAAAATTTTGCACTTAAAGTGAAAGAAGCTCTTGTGCTTTTTACAACACTAAATATACCCAAAAAATTTCACAAAACCTGTATTACCTTATGACATCCTTTACAGCACTCAAATATCTTGTAGCAAGTTAGTCATTTTGGTAAAATACAACTATGGATAATATGGCTTTTAATGAACAATTCTAAAAGAAATTAAGAAACCATATGCATGCTGTTACTAAAACAGAACACAAAAAAGAATCTCCTATCAGTACTATGTGATAAGTGTGAGATAACTATTTTTTACTACTAAGTGAAAGACAAATACAATTTAAAATAGTTTTGCTTTGCTATGTTTAATTTTTTTTTTCAAAACCACTGTATCTAGACATGGATATATGAGCAACTGTATTCCTATCGTAACTACCAACAATTGTATACCTCTCCTAAAAATTCACTTTCTTCCTCTCGAACTCGTGCTTGGTCCCAAAGCGTAATTTCTAACATTCGTTCTCTAAACTCTCTCCGATGAACTGGAGAATAAATGAATGTCTGATTCCACTTAGGTTCCAACGTTTTCTTTACCGTTTTTGTTCTTCTTTTATTTTTATCACTGCAAAAAACAATTAAATATAAAACATGCTCAAAAGACCAATATATTGTAATAAGTGTATCATGGAAAGCAGGAAATCTTTAATCTGCAGTACAATTTGTAGTTTTACGGGCACTATAATCTATGTCAGGATTAGTCCTTTATGACAAAATAAAGTTCAGCACACCTATTGAGGATAATTCATAGCTTCATATTAAAAATTGTTTTCCAGTTCATGGGCCAATTCCAATTTTAAGAAAACCAGAAATGTTTTAATATGTTTGTTTTGGAAACAGAATTTTATAAACCAAAATGTAATAGTGTAGATGGGAATTCCATGAGGCAGAGTCTGACAGCACAGGGCATAGCAAAAAAATCTGCATGTCAGGTCCACGAGCCAGCTGGTTCACTCAAGCCTCCAGTCCTCCAGCTGCTGACTCCGAGACGAAGGAATGGTCGGGGAGCAGAGGGCAGCGTGGGGCGCTCTCTGCAGGGTTTTCCTAAGGGTCTTTTTCCAGCAACCGTGCTCCTTTGGGTCACCCCAAGGATCCATCCAGCTTGGAGGTGGATCTCCACTACAAGGCTGGTGTCATTTTGGAGCCCAGTGAGGTCTCCATGCAAGACTACCTGCCTCTGGCTCCAGGGTGCTGTTGAAAGCAATGTGTTCTGCAGAATAATTCTGCTCGAAATAATTAGTATTTTCTGATGGAAACAAGTTTTGCTGCAAAACACCCACGCTCCTTCTACTGAGAATACTGACAAGAATTCTCATAACAAGGCTTAATTTTAAACCTGCTGATTGCTGCATAATGCAGCTGTGGTACTGAGTTCTGTGGATTTTTTTAATACGGCAATGCAGATCCTGGCTGTTTGCTAATACTTGCAATTGTAATGCAGTTATTGTATTTCTTAACTTAAAAGCTCAAACAAAATATTAACTAGGAAATGACATTTTTAGACACGTTGTTAAAACAAATAATGTAGTTATTTCTATTACACTAAAGATTTGTTTACTCTTTAAAATAAGTTACATTGGACAAGCTTTTCAAATGATTTTTTTTTTTAAATCAAAAAGATTCAGTATCTTCATCTAATTAAACACTTGACTTCTTTAAGTGTATTTTACCTCTAGGACATTTCTTTCTACTACACAAAAAACATATTGTTGCTGACTCAGCTTTTACCTCTAAGGAAAGGAAAATGAATTTGCATGTCAGAAAAAAAAACCCCACAATTCAATAAGACACATTGCTGATTCTTATATAAAAGTGATAGAAAACACATCTAATAATTAAAAAAAAAGTTCTGTATGCTTCACTTAAATACACCAGAACAGCATAATAAAATTTGATGTTATGCAATTTTTTGTATGTGTACTTGAAAGTATTTAATTAAATATTTTTCTTCTATGTATTTCTAGTTATTACAATTTACATTGTGAAGCATTCTGAAAACAGACATTTTTGGTAGTTTTATTAATCTTGAAAAAGCAAATAAGGTAATTTAAACAGACCTGATTCTCAGTTTAGCATAGCATCAGCACCTCCAAAAACGCTCCAGCAATTTGAACAAACTAAGAACCTAGTCCAACAGTTCAAATATGGGTGAGCCCAAGACAATCCTTTCCAAACCTTTTTGTCCTCAAGATACAGCAAATTATGCAAGTCACTGAAAAATTTCTTGTCAACATATGGTATACAATGAAAGCAGACAAATAGTGTCTTCCAAAATCCTGAATAGGTTTAATTCCTGC